ACCCTCGCACAGCAGACAGCAGCCAGCAGCCACTCCAAATCCCTATCGATCAACTTGTTTGATTTCATAATTTAGGATTCACTAATTAAAAAATTAAATTTTTTTATTAATTTTTTTAATATTTTTTAATTTTTAGATATACCTAACATAAATATACTTAAAAAGTATAATATTTGTGAATAAAAAATTTCTTTAAAAAATTCACTAGGGGTTGTTTGGGTTGTTCTAAATTAGTGTACTTTTTATCTTTTTACGAAAAGATGATTTCATAATTTAGGATTCACTAATTAAAAAATTAAATTTTTTTATTAATTTTTTTAATATTTTTTAATTTTTAGATATACCTAACATAAATATACTTAAAAAGTATAATATTTGTGAACAAAAAATTTCTTTAAAAAATTCACTAGGGGTTGTTTGGGTTGTTCTAAATTAGTGTACTTTTTGTCTTTTTACGAAAAGATGTGTAAAAAAGTAGAAAGGTGATGTGTTAGAAAAAAGATAAAAAGATGGATTATTTAGGGGATGCCTAAATTCCAAAAATACGAAAAAAAATAGTATATTTTTCGTATTCTTATATATTTATTGATTTTTAAAATATGTTTTAAAAAATATTTTATTTTTTAGATACATCTAAGTAAAGTACATATAAAAAAAATTAAAAAAAATGCTTAAAATTTTAAACATATTCACTAAAAACAAAAAAATACGAAAAATAAAAAATTTAATTTTCAAAAAATTTAATTTACAAAATTGAAACCAAACACAGTAATTATTTTTTACCATATTTTTTATTGTTTAATTATAATTGGAGTAAATCTCTAATTTTGGTTTCTGTCTCATTTTCATTGTGTGAAAAAAATTATGCACCTCTAATCTTATCCATATGAGTTTGATAATTACTTTTTTTTTTTCATTTTTAATGATTTTTTTCACTTTTAAAATCAACGACATTTTAGTCAATATTTTAGTAGGGCAATGATAGAGACCACTAAAAGTGGTGCTCTAAAGCAACCACTAATGACGTGGCATCTACTTTTTAAAAAAAAAAAAAAAAAAGACACAACAACATTGTGGCAGTGGGGGGGACCCACTGTCACATCCTTAGTGGTAGCCCTAATTAGTGGCTTCAAGTATTATTGTCTATATATATATAGTCCACAAAAGATTAAAAAGTTATTTATTTTTTAATTGTTTAAATATTTTTAGACTAGACAAATTTGAAAAGTAAAAACCTTTTATACAATTTTTTTAAAAAAAATCATTAAAATCAATTTTTTTTTTTTAAAGAAAAAATATGACGTTTTAACTATTGCTAAACAGAGCTTAATAGCTCTTCTGTGTAATTCAATTGGTTGTACTTCTAGATTTCTAGAGGGAGGTTTTAAATTGGGTTTATGAGAAAGTGTTGAAAGATCAAATTATGAAAAACTTATTAACATTCTATGTGATAATGAAAATTGTAAAAATAAAACTTACTTTAATAAATCTTTTACTCTAATGATGAAGTCAAAATATGTCATATTATTTTATATTAATTTATGTAATACTATTTCTAACACTAATGTAATCAAGACTATAATATAATTTTTCATGTGAATGATAAAGTTGCCTAACAAATTGAGAAAAAGACACCCCTATCTTTTTCTATCCCCCACCGTTTTTTTTTTATTTTTATAACAAAGTTTATTTGGAGCATTGCATACCAAGAATCTAATGAAGAGAGAGAAGACTTGTCAGGGGAATACGATGCGCTCGTGCGAACCAAGACCCTCTCTTTTGAGTTGTCTCCTTTATTTTCTACTTGTAAAGTTATTGGATTCATTTTTGAACTCAATTTCGATAATCTGAATCGTTCACATTTTAAGATTTATTAAGTATATCATACTTGTAAAAAATCAAATTGATCGGATATCAGAAACTACATGTTTGAAATATCAAACAAAAAATTATTTTTTTTAAACTTTAATAAACAGTTTTCCGAACACATACTTTATGATATCTAATCAATTTGATTTTTTACAAGTATGATATACTCAATAAATCTTAAAATATGTACGGTTTAGATCATTGAAATTGGGCCAAAAAATAGGTTCAATAGCCTTGCAAGTAGGAAGTAAAGAAGACAATTTAAAGAGAGGATCTTGATTCGTGCTCGTACATGGTGCATACTGACAAAATATTTTTATAATATTAAAGTTATTATTTTTTTATAATAATTATCTTATGTTGTCACTTACATTAATTAGATGTAAATGACACTCATATGAAGGTTATTGTTGTGATTACCAAATCAAAAGATATGAATTAAAAGGATGTTGTTTGGATTTATGGGCTCACCCATAGGTCGCATTTTGACAAGCATATATTTTTTTGTCAATTTTTTTTGAGATAAATGTGATAAAGTAACTGATTTTTTTGTATGAATAATATATACAAAAGATTTTATAAAATAAAATAATTAAGATCATTGAATGGTACTCATGGTACATCCCACGTACTTGGCCAACCTCTTTTAGGCTATGTTTAGCATCTTCTTCTTGGATTAAAATAGTCAATAAATGACAAAATAGACTAAAAATCTAATAAGACAAAATGTCACATTCAAATCATGATCATTTCATTTTTTCTCTCATAAAAGTAAAAAAAAACTAAAAAAATCCATCCCAAACGAGACTTCTTTAACGCTAGACTAAAAAAGTTAAAAAACTAACCTAAATTTCAGACAAAGACTAAGTCTCGATCGAAACCCATCCATAAATAAAATATGATAAAGAAGTTAATAACCCTAACATTACTCCAAATATTTTAACAAAAATAGTGAGACATTATATAAATATACATGACAAAATTATTTTGGGAGAAAATTATTGAAAAGTTGAGAATGATTATGTTACATTTGGCCATAATTAATTATGATAAGACAAATAAACAAAATAGAGGTCAAATTATTATTATTATTATTATTTGTCATCATAATTGAATTAAAATGGGGCATCTTTCATAACTTATTTTTTATGACATCGTAACTAAATAAGTAAAAAGATTGAGGGTTCATTTGGAAAGTGAGTTGGTTTTTTTTTGACATTTTAGCTTTTTTAACTTGGGATTAAAAAGTCTCGTTTGTGAATGATTTTTTAATTTTTTGTAAGAGAAAGAATGTAATGATTATGAGTTGGATGCGATACTTTATTTTATTAGGCTAAAAAGTTTTTTTTGTCTTTTTATAACTAAAATAGCTCTAAATTTAACCCAACCCATCTTCCTAAACAGAGGCTGAAACACAAGAATTTTTATTTGTTTTGATATTGTATTAAATTATTAACTATAAACTCTTGATATTGTTTTGATTTTTTGATATTTTTTCAAATGGGGCATCTTTTGTTTTGATTTTTTTTTTAAATTTGTTTTGATATTGAAACACTTATTATTGAAAAAACAATTTTATTATTTATATTTAAAAAAAAAAAAAAAAGTGAAATAAGAACCATGGCACCAAGCCCTAAATCCCGCGCCCCGTGCCTCATGTCATAGTTTAGTGCCATTCTTAATTCAAAATTTAAAAGTAATCACCCTATCTATATAGCTAATAATTAAAAAGATCACCCCCTCTTTATAGCTAGTAATGTAGGGTTTGTTCCAATTCATGATTCATCAAAGCTTTAATGCTGTAAATCAACTTCTTCACCTCATTATTGACTAGTAGGGCTTGACTTGGTAGTATTCTACTAAAACTTATCTTGTGATTTGAAATTTTTGGTTGCCCTTAAATTCAAAAAAGTTGAAATATTTTTGACCTTAATAACCACATTAATATATATGAAGAACAGTATTGATATATGCACAGCATTTATGTACAAAAAAAAAAAATATACAAAAAATTAATGTATTGTCTACATTTAATTAATTTATTATTTGGTTGAAATTTAGGATAAATCTTGACGGAATAATGAATTTTTTCAATATATGTTTATGCACAAATTTCATGTATGTAGCATTGCTTCATGAAAATAAAATAAAATTGGGTGCTCAAGTGCTTGCTCATCAATAGAAGCTCAACACCAATTAGGGGATAGAAACATAAATTTTATAATTTTATAATTTTTTTAAGTAATTGGTATATTTTGTAATAATAAAATTTTAAATACTAAAACATGACTTTAACCATTTCGGCAATTGGGTTAAAAGTCAATTTTTTGAATTTTTAACTTTTTTGAGTTAGATTATCTCTTTTATTTTTTTTTACACATTTTTCTAAAAAAAATTGAAAAAGTTAAAAAAAAATTAGCTTTTAAAAATAGTAAAAGAACTAAAAAGAGAGAGCATATTTTAGGTGAGAATAACCAAATCCTCACCCAACTTTGACTGAACATAGAAAGTGAGAAAGACAAACCACGAGCCCCCTTCTCACTCCATAATAGACAAAATACAGTTGAAGCACTCTCTCCTCCAACTTGTCTCTATATTCTAATTCTCTCAAAAAAGATAACAACTTAGAAAAATGTTTAAAAATTTATCTTTTGTGATTCAAATTTTTATATAATCCAACTTACATTTAAAATAAATTTCAATCATATTGTACTTTTTTTATTTATAATATTTTTAAATTTCTAACATTCCCTATCAATAACAACACCCAACACTCAACATGCTAACATGATATTCACATCTATATGTCTAAATGGGTGTGGAAAGAATAATTATTGAGCATTCTTGCGACATTACTTACATAAATTAATCACGCAACAAAAAAATTTATATAAAGAAGATTTTGACTTATTTTTATTAAATAATTAAGAGATAAAAATGACGTTTCAAAAAATTTTATATAAACAAAATTCTTAATTTATTTTTGTCAAATAATTAAGAGATAAAAAATAACTCAATATAAAAGTATTTAATAATTTTGTGTGCGGAGATATTGTAGCATTGTTGTAGAGAATTTAGATAATAACTGTTTATTTGCTTAAATTAAAAATTAGCAGGTCAGCAAACAACAAATGTGAAGTAGCAAAACTTGAATTCACAAATGTAGGGAGAGAGAGAGAGAGAGAGAGAGAGAACCACTTCTTGATTGTTTGCATCACAATTCACAACAATTCAACCCATGAAGAGAATCAATAGATAATCTCATCACCCTCATCATCATCAGAATTGATGGACTCAATTTCTTGTCTCATCTCTCTCTTCCTTCTCATCACTCACTCTCATTTAATCCTATGTTCAGACCAGCAAAACAACGACGTGGCAGCACTAATATCCTTCAAGCAGTCCTCCGTCGCCGCCGATCCCAACCACCTCTTAACCAACTGGGTCTCCACCGCCGCCACCCCATGTTCATTCCACGGCGTCACCTGCTCTCCCCACCACCACCTCGGCCGCCGCATCACCGCCCTCAACCTCACCAACTTCGGCCTCATCGGCCGCCTCCACCTCGACCCACTCACCACCATCCCCACTCTCACCCACCTCCTCCTCAGCCACAACTTCTTCTCCGGCAACCTCTCCACCACCACTTCATCACCCTCATCATCATGCAACCTCCTCATCCTCGATTTATCCTTAAACAATGTCACCGATCTCCTCGCCGCCTCTTCTCTCCTCCACTCTTGTAACCGCCTCGCCTCTCTCGACCTCTCTCATAACCAAATTTCAGATTCGTCAATATTGAAATATTCTCTCTCTAACTGCCTGAACCTGAATTCACTAAATTTGTCGTACAACAAGATTTCCGGTAATTTGGACATGAGTAGTACTGGACCATCATCACCCTCATTGCTTTGTACAAACTTCTCGATTCTTGACCTCTCTAACAACCTCTTGTCAGGTGAAATACCGGACTTGCCACAGTCATTGAGTGTACTTGATCTATCAAACAATAATTTTTCGGGAAACTTTTCTAGTCTCCAATTCGGAACCTGCCTTAATCTCATCAAACTAAATCTTTCCCACAACAGCCTGTCCGGCACCGGTTTTCCTGCCAGCCTGGCAAACTGCCACCTTCTGACGATGCTTGATATCGGGTACAATGCGGTTCGAGGTAAGATTCCCGGGGTTTTGTTATCTAACTTGAAGAACCTGAGGGAGCTGTATCTGGCCCGGAACCGGTTATTTGGAGAGATTCCACAAGAATTGGGAGAAACTTGTGGGACACTTGAGGTTCTAGATCTTTCTAGAAACTATCTCACCGGTGGGATTCCTCCGAATTTCGCCACGTGTTCTTCGTTGATTAGCCTCAACCTCGGCCACAATCAGCTTTCGGGCGATTTTCTCAGCACGGTAATTAGTACTCTCAGAAGCCTCAAGTACCTTTCTGTCCAGTTCAACAACATAACCGGGCCGGTGCCAGTGTCCGTGATTAATAGTACTTGGCTTCGAGTGCTGGACCTCAGTTCTAATTCTTTTACAGGAAATGTACCTTCTGGGTTTTGCTCATCCACATCGTCGGTTCTGGAAAAGCTGTTGTTGTCGGACAATTATTTGTCGGGGAGCGTGCCTTCGGAGCTCGGAAAGTGCAAGAATTTAAGGACAATTGATTTGAGTTTCAACAACCTTGTTGGTGAAATACCCATTGAAATTTGGAACCTTCCAAATCTTTTAGACTTGGTTATGTGGGCTAACAATCTCACTGGAAATATTCCAGGAGGCATTTGCATCAATGGTGGAAATCTTCAAACTCTGATTCTCAACAACAATCTTATTACTGGATCACTTCCACTCTCCATTGCTAACTGTACAAACCTGATTTGGGTTTCACTCTCCAGTAACCGCCTCACTGGAGAAATACCCTCGGGTATTGGAAATCTTCGTAATCTTGCTGTTCTCCAATTGGGTAACAATTCGCTCACCGGGGAGATACCTCGCGAATTTGGTAATTGTCGGAGCCTAATTTGGCTTGATTTGAACAGCAATGGCCTAACCGGTCCCATCCCACCGGAGCTTGCCAACAATGCCGGGTTAGTACTTCCTGGAATTGTTTCTGGGAAGCAATTTGTTTTTGTGCGAAACGAGGGAGGGACAGCATGTAGAGGGGCAGGAGGACTAGTTGAGTTTGAGGGGATTCGTGCAGAAAGATTGGAAAATTTTCCAATGGTACATTCTTGCCCTTCGACTAGAATCTACTCTGGTATGGCGGTTTACACATTTGAAAGCAATGGAAGCATGATCTACCTTGATCTCTCCTACAATTCCTTGTTTGGAACTATCCCGGAAAAGTTTGGTTCAATGAAATATTTACAGGTCTTGAATTTAGGGCACAACAATCTAAGCGGAAATATCCCATTCAGCTTAGGAGGTCTAAAAGTTGTCGGAGTTCTTGATTTGTCTCATAACAATCTCCAAGGATATATTCCAGGATCTTTAGGGGACTTGTCATTTCTCAGTGATTTTGATGTGTCTAATAACGACCTCATTGGGACTATTCCTTCGGGTGGTCAACTCACTACTTTCCCAGCTTCCAGATACGAGAACAATTCGGGTTTGTGTGGGGTCCCCTTACCTCCTTGTGGCTCTGGAAATGAACCACGCCTTAGGCCAGCGTTTCGTCGTCGAGGAATTTTGAAGCAGGCAGTGACGGCAGAGATGGTCATTGGAATTGGGGTATCAGTTTTTTGTATCGTCATGCTCGTGCTGGCGTTTTGTAGGATAAAGAAGCATCAACAAAAAGCAGAGAAGAGAGGTAAGTATATCGAAAGCCTAACAACTTCTGGTAGTAGTAGTTGGAAACTAAGTGGTGTTCCAGAGCCTCTGAGCATCAATGTTGCGGCATTTGAAAAGCCTTTGAAGAAGCTAACCTTCGCCCATTTGCTCGAAGCTACCAATGGTTTTAGTGCCGATAGTTTGATTGGTTCTGGCGGGTTTGGGGAGGTCTACAAGGCTCAACTAAGAGATGGGAGTGTCGTCGCTATCAAAAAGCTTATCCATGTCACGGGTCAGGGAGACAGAGAGTTCATGGCAGAAATGGAAACTATAGGGAAAATCAAACACCGAAACCTCGTCCCCTTATTGGGTTACTGCAAAATTGGCGAAGAAAGGCTTCTCGTGTATGAGTACATGAAATGGGGAAGCCTGGAATTTGTTCTACATGATAGTTCTAAAGTCGGGGGTTTAAAACTAGACTGGGCAGCAAGAAAGAAGATTGCTATTGGATCAGCCAGAGGACTATCATTCCTTCACCATAGTTGTATCCCTCACATAATCCACCGCGACATGAAGTCTAGCAATGTTCTTCTTGATGATAACTTTGAAGCCCGGGTTTCTGATTTTGGGATGGCAAGATTGGTGAACGCCCTCGACACTCATCTCAGTGTGAGCACCCTGGCAGGGACTCCCGGGTACGTTCCCCCAGAGTACTACCAGAGTTTTAGGTGCACCGCGAAAGGGGATGTCTACAGCTTTGGCGTCGTATTGTTAGAACTTATCTCTGGCAAAAGACCAATAGACACTTCGCAGTTTGGAGATGACAACAATCTAGTAGGATGGGCAAAGCAGAAACAGAAAGAGAAGAGAATTCATGAAATACTTGATAATGAATTGATTTCACATGAATCTGCTGATGACGCTGAGCTATTACAGTGTCTAAGGATTGCTTTTGCATGCCTCGATGACAGGCCTTTTCGGAGGCCAACTATGATTCAGGTGATGACAATGTTTAAGGATCTTGGGGGAGAATCAGAAAGTGATACACTTGATAGCATCTCACTAAAAAACACAGCCATCGATGAACAACAAGAGAGAGAACCCTAGTTTTTTTTACGACATTAGAGTTCACAGTATTGTTAAGTTTGTCTTGACAGTTTGTTGTTACAGTTGTTGATTGTTAATGTTTGTAGAGAGAGTTGGGAATTTGAGAAAATTCAGAATAGCTCTGATTTTGTGAAGTTGTTTAGCATTTTAGGCACTGACTTGTTTGATAATGGAAATTATAATTGTAGCAACTAGGTTGTTTAATTGTGAATCTGTGATGATCACCCTTGTATTTCTGCTATACAATTATATATTTTGTTAGATTATTAGTTATTAGTCCAATTCCAAAACCATTACCCAAAACAAACTTGGCTTCAATGCCCTTAGCAAGAAAAGTATACAAAATGGAAAGCAATTTGGACATCATTGATTGTAATTATTCAGAGTTGTAATTATGCAATGCTCATATACCATTGCCTTTGCCAATTGCTTTTTCTTTGTTGTCTCAGTATGTAGGCTAGGTATAGTCACTAGAGTCAAATTCATTTTAGCCATGATAGATCATCGTTGCATCACGTGTTCATCCTCCTTGAATCAATTAATAGCTGGATCATTTTTCAGAATACATTAATTCTTATGTCTTGTCAGTCGAATAGTCTCCTTGTGTGACTTTTAAAACTGATTTAAAGTAAAACCTTTGTATGAAGAAAGTATCTCTCTTCACAACGTGACTCAGGTTTGAATTTTGGGGAGAGCAAAATGTTGGATAATTCCAGTGGTTCTCTGCGGAGATCTCGCTTTGTATTCCGATTGAACTTTGGGCTCGTCTATGATGTGTGGTAGAGCTCCGTTAGTGCCTTAGTGGTGGGTCCTTTCCTATGGGTTAGGTTAAATCAGGCAAGCAACTGATTATCCCGGGGCCTGAACCAAATGATACAGTAATGATATCTCAGAACATCCTTTTTTGGCGTTCCAAAAAAAAATAAGTGAAGCCTTTGTACCGAGCCTTGTTAAGGTTTATTATTATAAGTGAATGGTCCATGGTACAACTCAATGCCAGCCCCCAAAGTTTTCTGTTGTACATGTTTTTGCATCTAAACAAGAACACTCATTACACAAATTTTTTTTTTTTTAACAGTTGATGAAAAGTCCCAAGTGCATCTGACTTCTCTTCTAATTTTTTTTCCTGGATGTTTTTGTTATGGGTTATATATAGACTTATAGATTTTATTTATTTTTTTATTTTTTTTTATAATGAAAAAAAGGTTTAAAATATTGTACTCACAGTGCTGCATTCATTCAAGGTGAGTTCACACTCCACCGAAATGAATACAAACACTGCCAAGTTGCATTCTAAACACTTTTTTATGAATTTTTTTCTTTCTGAATCCGTAAAATTACTAATTGTTTTCCTACTCTATTCTTGGGTTTTACCTTTCAATCTTTTTTGGGTTTTACCTTTCAATGTCCTTACTAAAATAAATTGGCTGATCACTCGCCTTTTTTCTTATATATTTTTTTTAATTTTTATCTAAATTTATAATTCAAACACAATATAAATGAATAATGAACTTTAGAGCATGAAACAAAGTCCAAGCCCTACAAAATTAAGAGTCAGCCCAAGTGGCGGAGGGGTGGGCTTCCAATGGGTCCACAACTAAAGTTGGACTCAATATTTTTTAATGGATCTAGGGTACCTACTAGGCCTTGGGCACAACAGGCCTTATTGCCCCTGTAAGATTCACTTTGGACTCTATTAACTATTCAATTTTATAAAACTCCTCAAATAAATTATTTACATAAAACATTAAATTAATCAAATGTTAATAATTACATAATTAAATCATATTTATTTTTAAAAAATAAAAAAATAAAATGTTTATTCTCAAAATCGCATTTGTCATCTAAATTTAAGGAAAATATGATTTAATCTTGTTGATATTTCTATTAATTTTTTATTTTTTTTATATTTTTACATAAATGAGCTATTTGATATATTTTACGAGATTATTTAAATCTTTTTTATATTCATGAAATGGACCCACTCAAAAGAGAGTCAGCCCTACTATACCCAAAACGCATGGTATCCCAATTCCTTTTGGATTAAGAGGTTCATTTTTAAAAACCAATTACAAGGTAGGAATTTTATTTCAGCAATGTTAGGTATTATGAAAAATCTTTTATGAAAATGATCATGAAAGATTTGTGACCTTTAAATTACACTTAAAATAAAATATCACACACTAATTAAGATAATCTCACAGTCACAAATCTTTCATGATCATTTTCATAAAAAAAAATTCATGATTCCTGACCTTTCCCATTTTATTCACACAAAACCATTCACATCTAATAATGTGAATAGAGTCATGACATGAAGTTGTAAAAGTCTTGGATTTCAAATATTAAAGTAGTCTTCATTGACTGCAAAGACCTGATGGTGTTTGCCAAGTTATAGAACACGAAAAGTCTCTTTCTCTTCTTTTTCTTTTCTTTTCTTTCTCCGTCTTTACCTTAATCCCCTAGGTAACCCTTATTTTACTTCACTGATGTGGAAGAACAGTGTCGGTTGATTTTATCTCCTCCTCCCTCATTATATGTGGTTTTTTTAATACCCATTTTGCCACCTTAGCAACAAATAAAAAATAGTAGAAATTATAAATAAATAAAATAAACATAAGTTCTTACTTCTGTTTCGATTTAAATTTTGAGTATTTAATTTTATCAATTAAAACTATGTACTCTTCAAATTACAAATATGTCACTCGTTATTATATTGACAAGTTATGTGACATTTGTTAATAATGATAGGACATTAATCACTCAACTTCAAATTTGAAATAAGAGTATTTTTTATATTTTTATACTTATGACATGTTGTCCTAATTCTATGTATATATAGTTGATAGGAGACAATTATATTCTAGTAATTTTTCTAATTATAATCAAATCATATAATAAGGTCATGTTACAAGTAATACTGAATTCACATTGAATAGTTTTATAATTCTTTTAAAAACATTAAAATTAATCACAAAATCATACACGATCTTTTCAAATAGATGCAAAATCTATAAAAATAAAAATAATAAAACACATCATGTAAAAATAAAAATAATAAAGCACATCGCATATAAATAAATTATATTTGATTCGGTAATTAATTTATGTTTTAGTATTAAATAATTTTTGGTTGTAAAAAAGGTTAGGGGAGCGTATATATAGGACACAAAAGACTTGGTCAAGGAAATCTTTTTGACTGGGTCGGGATAGAACCTGAACTGTTACATGTAAGACTGATACATATAATTACAAAATTTACATAAATATATTATTACATAATAATGTTATAAATTCAAAAAAAAATTATTTAGAAAAATGAAGTAAGAGTATATATTTATTGCATGTGTTTTATTCATATTTTATTAATATTTTACTAATTTTAAATATATATTTTTTAATAATTTTTAGGATAAAAATTAAAGTAGAATTTCATAATTTATAACATTTTTTATTATTATAAATATTTATATACTTTTATAACAATATATATCTGTGTGGATATGTCAGAAGAAGAGAGAAGAATTGTATTGAGTTTGTTAGCTAATTGATGATGCGTCATTCCCCAATTGTCAGTTTCCCACCACTTTTCTCACTTACTTTCCATCCTCTGTTCCACATTTTGGCTCAATCTTTTTATATATATTATAAAGAAAATATCAAATCAGTTAATGTTTTGAAAAAATAATTATAAATCAGTAATAAATTTTATAAATATAAATAATTAAAATTATAAACTTTGTTACAAATCTGTAATTACTTTTTGAAACTGAAATGTAATTTTCCTTATTTTTTTCTTCGATTCTAGTAATTTTCCTTATATTATATTAGTAGAGTGCGTATTCATATTGATGTGTTTGAAATTTGAAATTATAAATCTAAAGCCATGAGTGTATTTAATTATGCAGTCACAGAAGAAAGAAAATCGATTGTTTAGAAATTTTAAAAAAATTGTGAGGGTCGTATCAATTCAAGTATTTACATTATATAATTAGATAAGATTTTGTTAATCAATGTTAATGTTGTAAGGTATCAAAACAATAAATTCAAATTATATAATATATATATATATTGCAAAAGTGGGTGTAAAAAAAGAAAAGAAAAAAGAACTTGATCAATAAAAACTATACTACTATTTAGTTAGCTAGACAAAAGCAATTCGCCCGGTTCCATAAAACTTCACTCATTATGTTGAGTAAATTGGATCCAACTAGTCTCCACTATATGATTGTAAAAAAAAATCATATTAATGTATTTTTATTTCAAATCTAAAAACAGTTAAAAAGTTGTTTTTTAAATTTAAAATGATATAATAATTATAGAGAATTGATTTTAAATTTTAATTAATGATAGTTTTATGCATGGTAATGATGAGAATTTAATATCCTTGTAAATCAACTATAGAGTTTCTTAAATTTGAAGTTACCAAGGCATCTAAGTTCTTGTAAAACATCATTATGTGCATTGAATATATAATAAATATAAAGTATTGGGAATAACTTTACATTGAGTGGGCAAGTCTCAACCAAACTATAAACAAATATAAAATAATATATATATGAATAGAATAGGAATGACTTTAGAATATATTTTAGATTAGTGTTGGAAACTCATTCTTCATCCACAAGAATAAATAATTTTTTTTAAAAAAAAATGATATATTCACTATCAACCAGCCTTTTTTAAAAAAAAAAAAGATTTTCTTAAATAAATTAATCAATCCATTCTATTCCCATATGCTCCCAAATAAATAGTCACAAATGAGTTTGTTCTATTTTGTTCTCTCCAATAACAAGTTTCTCATAATGTGAACACTTGGACGGTCTTTGTTGCTTTCTTAATTCTCTTTATTTCTATATGCTATATATACTATAACAAAAGTTTATAATTTTTTTTTACCCACTTATTTAACACATCACATTATTGGACTAGGTCAAGTTTCACAATAAAATAGCTAAGTTCACAATGTTGTCAGTTATATTTTAGTTAGTGAAATTTCACTGACTTCAATTAGTGAAATCATCTCGTGCCAAACATTACCTGCCCAGCTTTACTAATCAGCTAAAAACTTTAAGTGATGGGTAAATTGAACAATAATTATCTATGTATTGAATTTTTTTGAATGTCCAGTGGGTTATAATTGTTATCATATTTATAATTTATCTGTTATCAATTTTAAAAAATGATAGAGAATAATAGGGTACAAAACATATTAATTATTGGAGAAATATCAAATCAGTGATATTTACAAAAA